GCCTCTTCGACCTGTTTGTTTCCTCTCCACCTATCCTCTCCTCTATCCCTCTTCTATCCGCCTCCCACTCTCTCCCTATTTATTTCAAAACCCCCTTCCCCTCCCCCTTTTCTGATGAAGGGTCTAGGCCCGAAACGTCAGCCTCTCTGCTCCTATGATGCTGCTTGGCCTGCTGTGTTCATCCAGCCCTGCACCTTGTTGTCTTGGATTCTCCAGCATCTGCAGTTCCTACTATCTCTGAGAGGAATCACGGATGTATGTGGGCAGGGACTGGTCCAGGGGAGAAAAGACTGGGTCAAGGTGGGGAGAAATGAGTTTTGTGGGGCAGAAGCAGACTGAAACACGATTTTCAGGAGGTAGAAGCAAGCTGTGTTGGGGTGGGGGGGCTATCAGCTTGTAGGCAGTGGGACATAGATCACCAGATGAGGTCAGTGACCGTAGTTGATACAATGGCCTGATGTGCCATGGTGCAGTCATGGTCCAGGGGAAGATAGCAGGAGGTATCTGAGAGCTGGTGCAGTAGAGGTCAGTAGCCAGACTACAACAGCATCACCCTCACCGGCAGGCTTAATGACAAAGTCAGCATTGGATCTAAACGCATGGAGTGCAGTCAGTTTGGGGGGAGATAGGTTTGGTGAGAGGGGCAGAGAAATTGAGGCGACCAATGTCACATTGACAGCTCTCAATGAATAGATCGAGTGCAAGTAAAAGGCCAGAGGGAGGGCTCAAGGTGGAGGGAGAGTGTTGGAGCTGGGCGAAGGGGTCTGTGGGATGGGAAGAGGACTCTTGTCCAAAGAAATGGGCACGGAGGCGAAGCCGGCAGAAGAAGAGTTCGATGTCACGTCATGCCCAAAGTTCATTAAGGTGAGGCTACAGAGGAATAAAGCTGAGACATTTGCTGAGTATGGAGTGTTCAGCATCAGACAGTGGAAGGTTAGGAGGGATGGTGAATCACCGACAGGGGGTGGGGTTGGGGGAGGGGATGGAATCAGAGGGAAGGGGAGAGGAGGAAGGATCTAGAGGGCCATGGGTATCTTTGAGTTGTTGTATCTTGTGGGCCTTGATGCCTGAAAGGAAAAGAAAAAAAGTTTCTTGTTAGCACGGAGAATGAGCCAGAGGATGAAGTAGAACAGTGGAGTGGTGCAGCTCTGAGCCAGCGTGATGCGTTACTGTTGGAGAGAAAGGTTGAGAGTGTGTGCATCTGGTGCCGCATGGCACTGAGTGTGGATCTCAGGATGCAGCGAGAGCAGCTGTCTGTGGAACGTTGAACATCACGGAGATATCTGTGATCCTGGCAGGATTCAAAGCACAAGGGATGAAACTTCAGTTGGAATCCACGTGGGGTGAGTTTGAGCCGGAGGCCGTCACTGAAGAATGTGATACGTCTGTGGAAACGGGTTTTAGCAAATACCTGGACAAACACCAGGAGTGACAGTGACATTAATGTCAGTGGGCAATAGTAAAGATTGGAATGGAAATCCCGTCCGAGTGAGGAGCAGAACTTCTTCAAGGTGGACATACCTGGAAGAGATGTGGCAGTGAGTTAAATACTAAATAAAAACCGAAAGAACTGCAGATGCTGTCAATCAGGAACAAAAACAGCAGTTGCTGGAAAAGGTCAGCAGATCTGGCAGCATCTGTGAAGAAAAATCAGAGTTAACGTTTCAGGTCCAGTGACCCTTTCTCAGAACTGATGGTAGCTAGGAAAATGTCATTTTTTTATGCAGAAGATAGGGTGGGGGGAGGGGGTTAGGAGTAAATGATTGGTGGGGATAGAGCCCAAATAGAGAGAAGAACAAAAACAGAAGTTGCTGGAAAAGCTCAGCAGGTCCGGCAGCATCTGTGAAGGAAAAAACAGAGTTAATGTTTGGGGTCCAGTGACCCTTCCTCAGAATGTCAGAATGTTTTTTTTTCTGAAGAAAGATCCAGACCCGAAACGTCAGCTTTCCTGCTCCTCTGATGCTGCTTGGCCTGCTGTGTTCATCCAGCTCTACACCTTGTTATCTCAGATTCACCAGCATCGGCAGTTCCTACTATCTTTTTGCGGATGGATGGTCCAGGTAGCTGTGGGAGCTGGTGTGTTTATACTGGATATTAGTGGCCAGTTTATCCCCAGAAATGGAAACAGAGATGTTGAGAAAGGGAAGAGAGGAGTCAGAGATAGACCCGGTGAAAGTGAGGGCAGGGTGGAAATTGGAAGGAAATTTGATGAACTTTTCTAATTCTGGATGAGAGAGGGAAGCAGCATCGATCATATCATCGATATGTTGGAGACATGTCCTAGCCCCCTACCCACACAGTCATCCATTACACACTACCTATTGTCAGCCACTAACAGTCTCCATTAACAGCTATTCACCCTCCTAGCCAGATCATTATCAACCCCTTTGTCTGTCCAACTGTTCTTCTCTCTTTGGGCTCTATCCCCACCTATCATTTACTCCTTACCACCTCCACTCAGCCTATCCTCTGCATATAAACCGACATTTTCCGAGCTACCATCAGTTCTGAGGAAGGGTTACTGGACCCGAAACATTAACTGATTTCTCTTCATAGATGCTGTCAAACCTGCTGAGTTTCTCCAGCACTGTGTTTGTTTCTCCTCATCTTTGCCTTAAATGTCTGTTAGGAGAATAGAGAGAGCAGCCTTATGGTCCCCTTGGACAATGACAATCCTTATGATGGATGTTAAGCTAACTGTCCTGTCATTTCCATGTCCATTAGGATAATCTCATCCACCAGATGGAAAAAGGTTTTCTCTTTCAATCTACATTTGGGAAACCTCAACTAGATAGCCACTTAATCTTCTATATTGCAGAAAATAAACCCTGATTTATGTAATCTCTCCTTCTAATTTAACTTTGGAAACAAAATGTATAAACTAGTACTTATTCAAGTTTAGGAGATATTTGGATAATAAAATTGAGAGGCTTCAGATGACTAAAAAGTTGAGAACTTTTGGCTGAATCTTAAAATCAGACCCAGATTGTTCAGGAAAGTGAACTGGGAATCTAGAATGCTCTTCCTTAAAATCAATAGCGGGTCAACTGAAAATTGCATTATTGAAATTGATTGATTTTCACCTGTAAATGATATTAAGTGTTACAGATTTACAATCTATAGATAGAGTTAAGATGCAGATTAGCCACGATCCAACTGAATGGTAGACTTACGGGAGGGGCTGAAAGAATTCAATCTATTATGGTGATTTAATTATGAACCAGTCTCTGATAGTCCTACACCCACCACATCTGTTGGGACTGACTGACTGAGTGGACAAATAAGGACAAGGCCCAACTCAGGACATACAGACCAGAGGAACTTTCTCAGAAAGTATTCACACTCTACAGACCACACCAAAACTAAAGGGTTCATTGGTTTCTCACGGTCCAAGCCTAGACTATATTAGCTTAAAGACAAACTTTCAGGGAAGGATCTTGTGACTGATGCTGAAGCCCAACTGGTACTGTACTGTTTCAGACCTGAACCTAAAGAGTGAAATTTACTCACATTGCCACAGTGATAGTGTGCCTAATAACAAGGTCAGTCCATTGTTGCGGCTTGTCACCTTGGACAGGATCCATCAGGCCACAGAGTTTGCCTTTTCAGACCCAAACTACAGATATCATTGCTATACTCAATATTCTGAGATACTGAAAGTGTCCTATTAACAAGTAATTTCTTTTAGAGTCATAGAGATATACAGCACAGAAACAGACCCTTTGGCCCAACTCGTCCATGCTGACCAGATATCCTAAACTAATCTAGTCCTATTTGCCAGCATTTGGCCCATATCCCTCTAAACCCTTCCTATTCATATCTCCATCCAAGTGTCTTTTTAATGTTGTAATTGTACTAGCCTCTACCACTTCCTCTGGCAGGTCATTCCATATGTGCACCAGCTTCTGCATGAAAAAGTTGCCCCTTAGGTTCCTTTTACATCTTTTCCCTTTCATTTAAACCTATGCCCTCTAGATTTGAGCTCCCCTACCCCAGGGAAAAGACCTTGTCTATATACCCTATCCATGCCCCTCATAATTTTATAAACCTCAGCCTCCGACCTGTGATCATACTTACAGATGTTGAGGAATCGGAGTGTTCCACATCTGGCCTCGAGACACTGTGGTGACAATTACGAGGAAAAACTGGGGGACGAGGGGAGAAGAACGGGATGATATCTTCATCGGACCTCCTAGCCCGTTCAACCTTTAACAACAACAAATTTCCTCATAAAAAACTCTAATGGTTTAAAACGTCCCACGTTGTTTCATAGAAACAATTAGCAAAGAAAATTTGACAAGTAGGAACATGATAAACAGCAGCAGCAGTAAAGCCATTCAGCCCTTTGATGTTAACGCACCAATCAACTAAATAATGGCTGATCATCTACTTCAATGCCCATTTACATGTACTATCCATTTATCTCTACGGCCTCTACTGTTCAGAAATGTATCCTTTCATGGGGTGGTGAAAGGGGCAGGATGCAAGGGTTAGGAGGGGAGGAGGTGGAGAGGGACAGAGGGGCAGGGAGGGAAAGGGAGGAGGCCGTGGAGGGAATTGAAAGATGAGACTTTCAAAATTGAAACATTACTCAGCCAATGTAGGTCAGTGACCAAGGTGGTGACAGGCGAATGGGACTTGGTTGTGTATAAGAACATGGGCACAGCAGTTTTTATGGAGGGCAGAATGCAGAAGATAAGCCAGGACCACACTGGAATCATCAAATCAAGAAGGAACAAAGGCATGGAGTTTCGAGAGATGAGGGGGATCTTACTGAAACTTACAGAATACGGAGAGACCTGGATAGAGTGGATGTGGAGAAGATATTTCCACCAGTAGGAGAGGCTCGGACCTGACAGCACAGCCTCAGAGTGAAGGGACGACCCTTCAGAACGGAGATGACAAGGAATTTCTTCAGCCAGAGGGTGGTGACTCTGTGGAACTCATTGCCACAGAGGGCTGTGGAGGCCAAGTCACTGAGCGTATTTAAAACAGAGATGGATACGTTCTTATTTAACAACTGAAAGAACCGCGGATGCTGTAAATTAGAAACAAAAACAGAAATTGATGGAAAAGCTCAGCAGGTCTGGCAGCATCTGTGGCGAGAAATCAGAGTTAACATTTTAGGTCAAGTTCTGAGGGAGGGTCACTGGACATGAAACATTAACTCTGACTTCTCACCACAGATGCTGCCAGACCTGCTGAGCTTTTCCAGCGACTTCTGTTTTTTTATGGATAGGTTCTTGATTGATAAGAGGATCAAGGGTTATGAGGAGAAGGCAGGAAAACGGTTGAGAAACATATCAGCCGTGATCGAGTGGTGGGGGAGACTCGATGGGCTGAAAAGCCTAATTCTGCTCCTATACCTTATTGTCTTGTGGTATGAATGTAGGTTTTAGCAGCAGATGAGCAGATACAAAAGCAAAGTTGGGGAAATGTTGTGAAGATGGCCACGGGTGGACATGGTGATGACGTGATTATGTGGTTTGGAGTTAATCTTAGTGTAAATATGGTTTTGGATTATAAGCAGGTTAATTAATTGGTCAAAGAAGCTTAAGCAACTTGAAAAAACATTTTGACACTGCGAGTAGTTAAGATTCCAAACACAGTGCCTGAGAATCTGGTGGAAGCAGGTTCAATCAATGCACTTAATCAGGAATTAGACTGTTCAGTGAAATGGCAGAATGTGCAGGGGTACGGGATGTGATGTAATGGGCTGAGTTGGACAGCATAGTGTAAGGGCAGGTGGTGGCATAATAGTAAAGACAGTGGACTATTAATCCAGAATCCAGTCATACTGTTTTAGGACATGATTTGAATTCCACCATGGCAGATGAGGAAATTTGAATTCAATAAAATCTGAGATAAATAGCACATCTAATGATCACCATATAACCATTAATTGATTGTTGTAAACACCCATCTGGTTCACTAATGCCCTTCAGAGAGGGAAATCTGCCATCCTTACCTGGTCTGGCCTACATGTGACTCCAGACCCACAGCAATGTGGTTGACTCTTAACTGCCCTCTGGGCAATTAGGGATGGGCAATAAATGCTGGTCCAGCCAGCGACGCCCTCGTCCTGTTAATGAATATAAAAAACGGCACTATATGAATTGGTCATTCAGGGAGCTGGTGTAACGCGATAGATTGAAGGGTCTCCTTCTGGGCTGTAACAGTTCTCTGAGTAAGCCTCAGATGGTTACAGGGGATGGATGGGTTCAGTGGCAATGGAATGGAATTTAGAGTAGGGTGCGAACTGAAAACAGTACTGTCAATGAGGGGTTTCAGACAGACTAAATCAGGAGAAAGCATTTCCAGTCACAGGAGAACCAGTGACCAGAGGGGCACAAACTGAAGGTAACTGGTGAAGGACATGGATGGAGAGATGAGGAGGATTGATGTTACAAAGCAATTTGCAAGTGCGATCTACAACACACTATTTGAAAGGACAGTGGAAACAGATTTAATAACAACTAACTATGAGAAAGGAATTGAGGAAATAGAAAAGTGAGCAATGTGGATAAGGTTTCAGGGAAAGAACAGAGAAGTTTGAATATTTGGAAAACCAGGAATGGTGTACTTCGGTGTGGCCAGATCCTAGGTGCTGCACTGCTGCTGGAACAGAGGGCATAGAAGCAGGGGCATAAAGTCAGCTAACTAAGAAAACATTCTGCACAAACCCAGGAAGTACTTGTACTTCTCTTGGGGGAAGAGAGGAATACTGCCCAAGGCTTGATGGCAAAATTGAAGCAAGAGGCTGCAGTAAGGACATGGTAGGGTGGAGACCAAATAGATTGAGAGCCTTCTTATTCCAAACCAAACATCTGATTCTCCACTTAGCCAACCATAAAACCATGATGACAAACTACAAAGTAGTACAAAAAAAACATTGGAACCTTGATCCTTTGGACACGTTCTCTCCTGGCAAAATCCTCCAACCTCTTCTTGATTTCGAGTTGATGGTGCCGCTAGGGACAACAATAGAGATGAAACGCGTTAGGAACTGTGTGAAGAATTTTCCCACACTGCTTTCTAAGGCATTAACCAGCAAAAAATAAAACTCGCACTTGTAATGTTCTTTTCTGAAGTACTTTTTACACTTTCAGGATATCCAATAGTGCTTCATAGTCAATGAAGAAACTTGAGGTTTGGATGTTGAAATATGGGAAATGCAGTTGTCAAATTACACCCAGCAGGCAACAACAAGACAGACTGAACTATTTGCTTGATGTGATGTTGGTTGAAAGTTAAATATTGACCAGGACTTTGGGATGAACTCCCCTGGTCTTTGAAATTGTGCTATGGGATCTTTTACATTAAAACCATGCAAAATATCTGATCCAAAAGACAGCAGCCCTGAATAAGGGAGGCTATGTTAAAGCTGTATATCAGACCACAGCTCGAAACCTGTGAACAGATCTGGTCCCTACATTACAAGGGGGACATGATCAGACTGGAGACAACAGGAGATTTATGAGGATGCTGCCAGGGCTCGAGAAGTTTTATTCTGAGAAGGGATTGGACAAGCTGGGGTTGTTATCTGTGAAACAAAGGAGGCTGAGGGGAGATTTAATTAAGGAGTTTAAAGGGATGAATGGTTCAAACAGATTGGATAAGAAGGAGCCGTCTCCATTGTCAGAGAGGTCACTACATATTGGCAGAGGATGACACCAATTGGAAGAAGGATGAGAGGGGTGTCGAGGAGGAATACTTGCACGAAGATTTTGGTGAGAATTAGGAACTCACTGTACGAAAGGGCAGGACAGGCTAAAATCCTCAGCAGATTTTAAAAAACTTGATTGAGCACTTAAAGTACTGTAACCTACAGTGCAACACACAGAGGTAGAAAGCGAAATAGAATGGAACAGCTATTTTTTGGCCATCTCAGAGACAATGCTTGAATGTCCTCAAGGATTCTATATATCTTAGGAACTGAAGGCATTGTTGCTAAGTGTTCAGGTGGAGGAACAGGTAGTGTTGAGGAAGTGGGGAGACTGTAGAAAAACTTGGACAGGCTAGGAGAGTGGGCAAAGAAGTAGCAGACAGAATACAACATGGGAAAGTGTGAGGTTATGCACTTTGGTAGCAAGAATAGAGGCATAGACTATTTTCTAGAAGAAACTATTTCATAAATCTGAAGCACAAAGGGACTTGGGAGTCGTAATTCAGAATTCTCTTAAAGTTTACATGCAGGTTCAGTTGGTGTTTAGGAATGTCAACATTCATTTCAAGAGGGCTAGAATACAAAGGTGAAGATATACTGCTCAGGCTGTATAAGGATCTGGTCAGACCACATTTGGAACATTGACAGCAGTTTTTGGCTCTGTGTCTAGGAAAGGATAGGATCATAAGAAATAGAAGCAGGAGTAGATCATCTGGCCCCTCTAGCCTGCTCTGCCATTCAATAAGATCATGGTTAATCTTTTCGTGGACTCAGCTCCACTTACCCGCTCATTCCCATTACCCTTAGTTCCTTTACTATTCAAAAATCTATCTTTGGCTTAAAAACATTCAATGAGGTAGCCTCAACTGCTTCACTGGGGAGGGAATTCCACAGATTCACAACCCTTTGGGAGAAGAAGTTCCTCCTCAACTCAGTCCTAAAGCTGCTCCCCCTTATTTTGAGGTTATGCCCCCTAGCTCTAGTTTCACCTGCCAGCAGAAACAACCTCCCTGCTTCTATCCTATCTATTCCCTTCATAATTTTATACTTTTCCGTAAGATTCCCCCTCATTCTTCTAAATTCCAATGAGTATAGTCCCAGTCTACTCAATCTCTTCTCATAAGCCAACCCTCTCAACTCCAAAATCAACCTAGTGAACCTCCTCTATAGCCCCTCCAGGGCCCAGTACATCCTTTCTCAAGTAAGAAGATCAAAACTGTACACAGTACTCAAGGTGTGGCCTCACCAGCACCCTATACAGCTGCAGCATAACCTCCCGGTTTTTAAACTCTATCCCTCTAGAAATGAAGGACAATATTCCATTTGACTTCTTGATTATCTGCTGCACCTGCAAATCAACTTGTTGATTCATGCACAAGGACACCCAGGTCCCTCTGCACGGCAGCATGCTTCAATTTTTCACCAATTAAATAATCGTCCTTTTTGCTGTTATTCCTACCGAAATGGATGACCTCACATTACATTGCATTTCATCTGCCAGACCCTTGCCCACTCACTTAAACTATCTAATTCCCTCTGTAGACTTTCACAGTATCCTCCATACACTTTGCTCGACCAGTCATCTTAGTGACATCTGCATATTTTGACACACTATACTTGGTCCTCAACTCCAAATCATCTATGTAACTTGTAAATTGATGTGCTGACGTTGGAGAGAGTTAAAAGGAGGTTTACAAGAATGATCCCGGGGCTGAAGGACTTGTCATATGAGGAATGGCTGAGGACTCTGGGTCTGTACTTGAGGGACTTTAGAAGAATGAGGGGGGAATCTGATTGAAACTTACGGAATACTGAATAGAGTGGACGTGGAGATGATGTTTCCACTTGCAGGAGAGACTAGCACCCCAGGGCACAGCCTCAGAGTGAAGGGACAACTCTTTAGAACTAAAAAGAGGAGGAATTTCTTCAGAGGGTTGTTAACTTGTGAAACCCATGACAGCAGATGGCTGTGGAAACCAAGTCATTGAGTATATTTAAGACAGAAATAGATAGGTTTTTCACTGGCAAGGGGCTCAAGGGTTACAGGAAGAAGGCAGGAGAATGGAGAATAATATCAGCGATAACAAGGTGTTGAGCTGGATGAACACAGCAGGTCCAGCAGCATCAGAGGAGCAGGAAAGCTGACGTTTCGGGCCTAGACCCTGCTTCAGAAATGGGGGAGGGGAAAGGGGTTCTGAAATAAATAGGGATAGAGGGGGAGGCAGATAGAAGATGGATAAAGGAGAAGATAGGTGGAGAGGAAACAGACAGGTCAAAGAGGTGGGGGTAGAGCCAGTAAAGGTGAGTGTAGATGGGGAGTTAGGGAGGGGATAGGTCAGTCCAGGGAGGATGGACAGGTCAAGGGGGCGGGATGAGGATAGTAGGTAGGAATTGGGGCTGGGGCTTGAGGTGAGAGGAGGGGATAGGTGGGAGGAAGGACAGGTTAGGGAGCTGGGGACAAGCTGGGCTGGTTTTGGGATGCGGTCGGGGGAGGGGAGATTTTGAAGCTTGTGAAGTCCACATTGATACCATTGGGCTGCAGGGTTTCCAAGTGGAATATGAGGTGCTGTTCCTGCAACCTTCGGGTGGCATCGTTGTGGCACTGGAGGAGGCCCAGGATGGACATGTCGTCTGAGGAATGGGAGGGGGGAGTTGAAATGGTTCGCGACTGGAAGGTGCAGTTGTTTAGTGCGAACCAAGCGTAGGTGTTCCGCAAAGCGGTCCCCAAGCCTCCGCTTGGTTTCCCCGATGTCGAGGAGGCCACAACGGAAACAGCGGATATAGTATACCACATTAGCTGATGTGCAGGTGAATATCTGCTTGATGTGGAAAGTCTTCCTGGGGCCTGGGATGGGGGTGAGGGGGGAGGTGTAGCACTTCCTGCGGTTGCAGGGTAAAGTGCCGGGTGTGGTGGGACTGGAGGGGAGTGTGGAGCGGACAAGGGAGTCATGGAGAGAGTGGTCCCCCCGGAAAGCAGATAAGGGTGGGGAGGGAAAGATGGCTTTGGTGGTGGGGTCGGATTGCAGATGGCGGAAGTGTCGGAGGATGATGAGTTGGATCCGGAGGTTGGTGGGTTGGTGCGTGAGGACAAGGGGGATTCTGCTTTGGTTGTTATTACGGGGAGGCGGTGTGAGGGATGAGTTGTGGGAAATGCGGGAGACCCGGTCGAGGGCTTTTTCGACCACTGAGGAGGGGGAAGTTGCGGTCCTTGAAAAACGAGGACATCTGAGATGTTCGGGAGTGGAATGCCTCATCCTGGCAGCAGATGTGGCGGAGTTGAAGGAATTGGGAACAATATCAGTTTTGATTGAATGGAGCAGACTTGAAGTCCCAAACAGCCTAATGCTGCTCCTGTATCTTATGGTCTTAAAACTGAAACTCCAGCCCTCCCTCAGTGTTAACCTTCTGACAATGCAGCTCTCGCTTAAGCCCGACCCTCTGACAATGCAGCACTCCTTTAGTACTAACCTCATAGACCCTCAACCTAACTCTCAAAATAAATGAGATAGGAGAAATTGATCTGTTTGACTGACAGCCAAGATTCATCCAATGAGGATCTTAGGGGAGGCAAATGGCCCAGTGGCATTATCGCTGGACTGTTAATCCAGGGACCAGATAAAATTCTGAGAACCTGGGTTCGAATCGTGCGACGGCAGATGGTGCAATTTGAATTCAATAAGATATCTGGAATTAAGAGTCTAATGATAACCATGAATCCATTGTTGATTGTCGGAAAAATCCATCTGGTTCACTAATGTCCTTTAGGGAAGGAAACTGTTATCCTTACCTGGTCTGGCCTACATGTGACTCCAGACCCACAGCAATGTGATTGACTCTGAACTACCCTCTGGGCAATTAGGGATGGGCAATAAATGCTACCCAATAAATGCAGTGACATCCTCAGCCCGTTAATGAATAAAGGTTAAAAAAAAGGGTAACAAAGAATCCATTTGCTTTCCAATTAGCTGAGAAGTCTTGAATAATTTGTGATATTGGTGGTAGCATTGAACTCAGGGACTTGAAGACAAGCGTTCTTGTAAAGAAACCCTCCAGTAACCCAAGCAATGTCAGAATGAAGGAACAGGAGGTGGCTATTCAGCCTCATGAGTCTGTACTGTCATTTTATGATTGAATGGCTGGTTCAGTTATATTTGGCCAAGGAGTACCAAAGACTCTCAACCCTCTGAGAGAAGAAATTCCTCCTCATCTCAGTCTTAAATTGGAGCCACTTTATTCCGAGACTATCAGAATAAATTCAACATACCCACTTTTTCCCAATTTCCAAACTAGATGACATTGTTTCTTTCTATTCACCCCATCATTCCCACTAACATTGTGAAACTACTGCTCAATTTTGCACTCAATCTTCTACAACCCTGAGAAAAATCCTGTGTGTAATGTCTCCCTGTAATGTTACACTTGGAATCAGGTATCATTTCAGTTAATTCAGTTTGCATTTCCTCCCGTGGCTAACATATACTCTGCGCGGTGTAGTGCCCAGATATGCTCCCAGAAGTTCTCCACCTGTCTGTCCACATTACTAATGCATCTTGTTGCCTTTCATATCCTGGAGTAGGTCTCAAACCAGTGCCATTTGGTTCAGAAGTAGGAACGCTGTGTCATTAGACCTACCCCCTTGTAGGAATGTTGTTTCCTGGCCCATACCACTCAGCCAGTTACCTAACCACGCCAAACATTTCCCTAAAATTCTATCTGGTTCAACTTTGACTGACATGTGGGACTTTATCAAATGTCTTCTGCAAGTCCAAATATATAACATCCACAGACCTGCTCCTGTCTGCCACTTATGTCACTTCCACAAAAATTTCAATGAGATTTATCAGTCATGATCTACTCTTTACAAATCCACTGGCTCTCACTGATTGATTGAAAATCTCCAACATACACTATAACAATTTCCTGACCATACAATTTATGGTGACTGGTTTAGAATTTCCGGGTTTCCCTCTCTCCTTCTCTCTTAAATAGTGAAGTGAGACCCTCAATTCTCCAATCTTAAAGAACCATTCCTGAGTAGAGATTACAGATAGGGCATCAGCAATGTTCTCATCCACTTCTTTTTGCGGTTCACCGGGATGATCCCTGGTATAGAGGGATTGTCTTATGACCAAAGGTTAAACAGACAGATATTCTACTCATCAGAGTTGAGAAGAATGAAAGGTGATCTCATTGAAACATATAGGATTCTTAACAGCTTGACAGGGTGAATACTGAGAAGATGTTTCCCCTCATAGGAACTTCTGTAACCTGAGGACATAGTCTCAGAATAAAGTGGCACCAATTTAAGACGGAGATGAGGAGGAATTTCTTCTCCCGAGGGTTGAGAGTCTTTGGTACTCCTTGGCACAGAGAGATGTGGGGGCAGAGTCCTGTGTATATTGAAGGTTGAGACAGATAGATTCATGATCAGTCAGGGAATAAAGGCAGGAAAGTGGACGTAATGAGTGTTTGATCAGTCATGATCCTATTGAATTGTACAGCAGACTTGAGAGGCCGAACAGCCGACTCGTGTTCCTGACAAATTGGGGATTTGTCAATCCCCAATAACACAATTTGTGTTATTATTTCCGTAATCATTTGTCATCTTGTTTACTTAAATTTTGGTGAGCTTCAGGCCTTGATTCGATAATAGTTTTCTGTACAAATCTAGTAAGCTGACCTTTTCCTATACAGAAAACACTGAGGAAAATAATTACTCAACATGTCTGCCATTTCTATATTTTCCGGAAAAATGTCAGTGAGTTTTCAAAGAACCCATATTTCTCCTGCCTTTCTTTTACCCAACATAATTTTAAAAAGATTTTGTATGGATTTTGATATCCCTCACAAGTTTCTTTTCCTATTCTATTTCTGCAGCTCTGATTATGCAGTTTTTTACGCTTTCCTCTTATTTGTAATTGTGCTTATCCAAAAAGGTCTGTTCCTTTCTTTGCTTTTTTGTTTGTGTATTTTTATTTACTTTTACGTTGTCATTTATCTCTTTAGCTGCCAAAAGCTACTTCATTTTTTGGCAAGGAAAGGATTTGCACTATAGGGACACAAACTGATTCTGTGTGGCATAAAATTCCCTTCAACCCATTGCTTTTTTTCAACACTTTGAACAGACTTCCTGCTGTTTTGCCAAGTAACAGATTTACCCAGTTTACCTAGTGGCTGCCTTATCCTTTCTAAATTGGTAACTTTTTTTTTCAAAGCTGGTTTTCCCTTTCAAACATAACATCAAAACAAATTTATGTTCTGATTTCTGTTAGATGAACATTAATCCGTCATTAGATTGTGAACTAAATCTGGGTCATTACTCCCTATTAAGCCTAGTGTCACAAGTGGTTCAGGTCTGGGATCTACTGCCGGGAAATGTGGTGGAGGCAGGGTCAATTGATACACTCAAGAGGGAATTTGAACAGAACCACGAGTGAGGGTGTGGAGAGAAGGTAGGCAAATGGTACAAAGTTTTTTTATTCATTCACGGAATAAGAGTGTCTCTGGCTAGGCAGCATTTATTGCCCCTGGGCAGTTAAGAGTCAACCACATTGCTGTGGGTCTGGAGTCACATGTAGGCCAGACCAGGTAAGGATGGCAGTTTCCTTCCCTAAAGGACATTAGTAAACAAGATGGGGTTTTCCAACAATCAGCAATCGATTCGTGGTCATCATTAGACTCTTCATTTCAGATATCTATTGAATTCAAATTCCACCATTTGCCGTGGCAGGATTCGAACCCTGGTTACCGGAATTTTACTTGGGTCTGTGGATTAACAGTCCAGAGATAATACCACTGGGCCATTGCCTTCCCAGTTGTAATGTGGAGTGCTTAAAATTGAGACTACACAGAGACTAGAAATGGAGGAGTGCAATTATTTTGGAGGGTTCTGGACTGAGTAAAGCTACAGAGAAAGGGAGGAGTGAGGCAATGAGAGGACCTGACCATGAGGATCAGAATTTTTATTTCAAAGCTTTGTTAGACTAGAAGCCAACGTATGCCAGTGTGCACAGGGGAATGGTGGAGGAGAGTGGTTGCTGGTTGCTGAGTACTGGCAGTTAGCAGCATGCTGCCTCTGTACCTCCATATCGAGGACCTTGTGGAATATAGCCTGGGCCAAACTCTCCCGTACATACTTCTGATGGTCTTTTCGAACTATGTTGAGACGATATTCCTTCTCCGACACTATCCTTCCATTCCTTGTGACCTGCACAGGAAAGCACTGATTTTAAGAAAAAACATTATCCAGCAACATCTCAAATGAATTACTCTAAATGTTTCTTTTACACAATTAAAGTGAGTCCTAATAGGTAATATTAAACTTATTTGAATTTACACAGCTTTTACAACATAAACTCAGGCTCTTTAAACCATTGCTTGCATAAATTTCTTCTTGCTTCCTAGGCTCCTCACCCTATCAGTGGATTTCTCCATTCCTTTCCCCCTCATATGTTTATCCAGCTTCCTCTTAAAAGTACTGACACTGTTCGCCTCAGCCACTCACTGTGGGGCAGAGTTCCACATTCACCCCATTGTCTGGGGCAAGAAGTTTCCCTTAATTTTCTATTGGTCAGCAACTTTAGCAGTGTAAAGCTCGGGGGAATGATGGCTTCCGTTTCAAACCCCCAAATATCAGTCTCAAGTGCATCATTTCCTTTTCACCAGGAGCATCTTGCATAACTGTATTTATTTTCTCTACACCTGCTATCCTGCACCACTCGAATGAGAGTTTCTGTTTAATGGAATCTTTGCCTAAATTCACAGATTCAGCTGAAACTGGATGGAGGCTACTGCAATTTCATTTCCTTCTAATTTGACTACAATTTGGGTTCCAGGTTCTACTTAATTGGAGACATGACGTGTGGAGAATGGGATGAGTTCAGGAGAAATACATGGCTTTGGATCGAAGATTCCCAAAACACTCCGCCTTTGAGGGGTTTCACACCTGAAATCTGGGGTTGCTGCAGACTCCTAGAGCTGGCTTTTACACAATTGGAGTGAGTGAAGTGATTCAAAATAAATGACAAACGTAAATTAGTTGCTCTGGCTTGAAGAAGGTGTTACCATTGACCAGAATCTGAACTGTAAGTTCTGTGGCTATAACAGCAGATCAAAGGCTGGGAATCCCGCAGTGAGCAACTCACCTACTGACTCTCCAAAGCGTGTCCAACATTTATAAGGCATAAATCACAGTGTGCCAGAATACTCCCCACTTACCTGAATGAGTGCAGTTCCAACACACAAGCTACTTGATAAAGTAGTCCCTGTTATTGGCACCACATCTCCAAAATTTCATTGTCTCCACTGCTGATGGTCAGTACTAGCAGTGTGGAAACACTGCAGAAATTCACCAAGTTTTTAGACAGCACCTTTCAAACTTGCAACTTCTACCATCGAGAAGGGCAAGGGCAGCGGATACCACTGCTTGCAATTTCTCCTTCCAGCTACTCACTATCCGGACTTTAAAACATCAGTCTGAGCAGCAATGGCAGCCACAACAGAGGAAAGGAGAACAAACCTGGGCCTGAACAGCAGTGACAGTGGGATAAATACCTGAGGAGCGAGGTCAGTGAGAGCGAACCTGGGGGTGAACAGTGACAGTGGGATAAAT